GCTCTTGATCGGGTGATGGTGGGGCGAACGACTGTTGTTGTGGCTCACCGTCTATCTACTGTTAGAAATGCTGATACAATAGCTGTCGTGCAAAATGGTGCAATAGTAGAAATTGGAAGCCATGAAGAACTCATCTCAATACCAAATAGTGCATATGCTTCCCTTGTTCAGCTACAAGAGACAGTTTCATTGCGACGCCTCCCGTCACATGGACCTACCATGGGACGACCTCTCAGGTACAAAATTCACCTTCTAGGATTTTTTATTTTTTATTTTACAGCAATTACAAAGGTATCATAGTTCTGCTCAAGAAAAGTTCAATAGCAGTCTAACAATTGCAGATATAAATTTAGCTTTACGCACATATTGAAGTTTAGAACCTGAAAATGATGATAATTTGTTACTGTTTTCCAACTTAATTTTCTTAAAAATCTTATTATCAAGAAATACTATCTGCACAATCATTTTTTGGCAATACGTTTGACAATATTACATGTCCCACATGAAGCATGATAATCTTGGTACTGATTTCATTTTGACAATGCTGAATCACTTATTGGATGCCTTTTATTATACCTTTTGAACATTATTTATTTTCTTTGTATAGCATTAGGTACTCACGTGAAGGTAGCATTAGGTATTCACGTGAATTATCCCGCACAACTACAAGAAGCCATGGTGCTAGTTTTCGTTCAGAGAAATCTATAAGCAGATTCGGTGCCGATGGACCAGAGAATATTGCACCAACACATATTTCATCTGGAAGATTGTATTCCATGGTGCGTCCTGATTGGTTTTATGGGGTCTTTGGCACCATGTGTGCATTTATTGCTGGGGCTCAAATGCCTCTTTTTGCTCTTGGAGTTACTCAAGCTCTTGTGTCTTACTATATGGACTGGGACACTACACGGCGTGAAGTAAAGAAAATTGCTTTCCTATTTTGTGGGGGTGCTGTGATAACTGTCATTGTTCATGCCATTACACATCTATGTTTTGGGATCATGGGAGAACGGCTCACACTTCGGGTTCGAAAGATGATGTTTACTGGTAATGTTAATTCCATAGTCTACTGTAATACGCCACAATACTTGAAAACTTACATGGGTTTAAGTTATTTTCTTGTGATGAATTCATTGAAATCTCTAGTCACTTAGAAGACAAATCTACTGATTTAGACTAGGAAAAAATTGGAAATCTGGATACCGAACAAAATGGTATCTAATTAAATCAATAATACTCAAGAAACTCAATGTAATATTATCATTGTCATCTGTACCTTGTAGAGCATGTTTGCTTATTCACTTTTGTTCAATTGCAGCTATGTTGAGGAACGAGATTGGATGGTTTGATGACGTGAACAATGGAAGTTCTATGCTAGCATCACTATTAGAAAGTGATGCAACTTTGTTGCGATCTGTAGTGGTTGATCGTTCTACAATCCTGTTACAGAATGTCGGCTTGGTTGTCACCTCATTCATTATCTCTTTCATCTTGAACTGGAGGCTCACTCTTGTAGTGATAGCCACATATCCATTGATTATTAGTGGTCATATCAGCGAGGTATCCATTCTTTCCACTTTCGTGTTTGCAGGCTGTGAAAATTTATAAAATATTTCGATCACTCATCTTTCTTTTGTTTCAGAAACTTTTCATGCAAGGCTATGGTGGTGACTTAAGCAAAGCATATCTCAAAGCTAACATGCTTGCTGGCGAGGCTGTGAGTAACATTCGAACTGTTGCAGCATTTTGCTCAGAGGAGAAAGTGCTTGATCTTTATGCTCGTGAGCTGGTTGAACCATCTCGGCATTCTTTTAGACGTGGTCAGACTGCTGGATTATTTTATGGAGTCTCTCAGTTTTTCATATTCTCGTCTTATGGGCTTGCTTTATGGTATGTTGCTTTAGCTTCAATATTTCAAAATTTCAATAGAGAAAGTTGTTCCAAAACAATAAAGAATTAGGATTCTATATGAGCACTGATGTTAAGACTGTTTCTAAACTGGCATATACTAGGTAAAACATTAATGGAGTCTTGATTTTAGTTTGATGAATCAATAGAATCGAATGACATCATGCTAATCTTTTTCAAACGTTTTTAGGTATGGTTCGATTCTGATGGGAAAGGAACTTTCTAGCTTCAAAAATGTCATGAAAACATTTATGGTTCTGATTGTAACGGCCTTAGCTATGGGTGAGACACTGGCTATGGCACCCGATCTCCTAAAGGGAAACCGAATGGTGGCATCAGTTTTTGAAGTGTTAGATCGGAAGACAGAGATTTTAAGTGATGTAGGAGAAGAGGTTACAAGGATAGATGGCACAATTGAGCTCAAGGATGTTGAATTTAGTTATCCTTCAAGACCTAATGTTCTAATTTTCAAGGACTTCAATCTTCGAGTACATGCTGGTAGAAGTATGGCATTAGTTGGACAAAGTGGTTCTGGGAAAAGCTCTGTAATTTCTCTCATACTCAGATTTTATGATCCAACAAGTGGGAAAATAATGATTGATGGTAAGTTTCTTTTGCTATATAAATGCTCACTTCTAGTGACTGATATGAAGGATTTGTAAAATGATACAACTTGTGCATATTTAGTAAACATTAATGTCTACGAGTTGTTATCGAATGCTACTGATGTTGTCAAATTTATGTAGGCAAAGACATCAAGAAATTAAAGCTCAAATCTCTAAGGAAATACATCGGATTGGTCCAACAAGAGCCGGCTCTTTTTGCCACGTCAATCCATGAAAACATTCTTTATGGTAAAGAGGGTGCTACAGAGGGAGAAATTATAGAAGCAGCAAAGCTAGCTAATGCACATAGTTTCATCAGCGCCCTTCCCGAGGGCTATTCAACTAAAGTTGGTGAGCGAGGTGTTCAACTTTCTGGTGGACAAAAGCAAAGAGTTGCGATTGCACGAGCTATTTTGAAGAACCCTTCTATTCTGCTCTTGGATGAAGCAACTAGTGCTCTTGACGTAGAATCAGAACGCTTGGTGCAACAAGCTTTAGATCGGTTGATGAAGAATAGAACGACAATCATGGTGGCACATAGATTATCTACCATTAAAAATGCAGATCAAATATCGATTTTGCAAGACGGGAAGATGATAGAGCAAGGGACTCATTCTTCTCTTGTAGAGAACAAAGATGGCGCTTATTATAAACTCATTAGCTTGCAGCAACAACAGCAACACCACCACAACTGACAATAATTTCTTTTTCTATTTTCTTTAACATATCTTGGTGTATGTGTTAAAGTTAATGTTTATGTTGAAATATAGTGATTACTTGTTGCCAAAACGTACGTTCAATTTAGAAATTCTTTTCTTGTTCTTGTTCTCCCATCTTTAGGAGGTTTATTAATGATCATTTAGCTTGCAATATAGATGTTGAAATGAATATAAACATCCACTTCAAAATAAAGATGCGTGCTACTTATTTTCGAGCTCTCTTTTCTTCAACTACTTATCTCAATCAATCATAATACTGCCCACTAGAGTTATCGAAAATAGGAGGGAAAAACCAAACTTGCACCCGTTAAGTAAATTAGTGGAGAAGTTTTCAAGAGAGACTTCCATAATATCTCGTCACATTTCTATCGTTGTCGACTCTTTCTTGGAAACTTCAATGCTCATAAATTATTTTTCTTTTCAGGACAGTACCACTATCAAATTTCAAACATGGAGTTCACTTCAAAAAGGGGCTATGAAACTAGGAATACTAGTCTAAGAGTCTGACCTATCCCTTATGTACGTTTGGAAAGCAAGAACATGTATTGTTTTAAAAGGTTGAACTCCAACCTTAAGGGTCCTCCACCGCCCCTGCCCTGGAGCATCGTGAGGGAGGTAAATCGCAGATTATGCCTCCAAGGGTACAAGATGGAAGGCTGCTTGTACACTTGCACTTACCCAAGAGCCAAATTCATATTTCAGGATTCGAACCTTTGACGCGGCAGCTTCAAGCAAAGCTGGATTTCTCCACCCTCCCCTTTTACCACTTGGAGATGTGCCCTGAGGGCGAACATGTATTGTTTTATTCTCATTTCTAGGGGAGAAGCAACACGACCCTGGATTACCCAATGCAACAAATCAACAATATCAAATAAAGCCCATCGTGGGGCCCAAAAGAAAAATCAAAACCAAGATTTTGGACTAGTCGAAGCAAGTTAGTCTCGACATTGCTCAAGCAAAAACAAATGGATGAATAAAGCTATTTGGTTATGAGATAACAACGCCTTATTTATTGATTTGACTTTTTTTTTTTTTTTGTTCAAACTCCAATGAAATGTTGAAATTTGGCATTGTATAAATTCATCTGGAAAATCTGTTTGTACATGTAGCATTGTTGTCAATGGATTGAGCAAGCAACTAACCTTGTTTTGCATATGCAAATTTTGTACCCTCAAGGAAAAGAAACACGGTCACCCCCTTCATTCCAACTGTAATGACAACTCCCATTTGATCCCTAATAATTCATCGACCCTAAGTTCTCTATCAAACTCTAATCCCTGCATCATTATTCAATTTTAGCTCTTCAAACCTTAGGGGAGTCTACTTGCTCTTTGGAGCTACTTTCTCGCATCACTCCTACCACCTATAACCACGGCCTCTACAAAACTTCCCCATTCCCACATGGCTATCGCCACCTTACCAATAGCACTAGATAGTATCGGTCCCCGTGGAACACCCTATGTATACTTACAATTCTTTACTTTTTGAGCTTTTTAGATAAGGTACTTTTTTCTTACTCATAAAAAGCTACTTATTTTAAGTTTTAATTGGAATGATTAATTGAGCCTTGTTTAACTCTCATTTTCAACCATACACTTTATAAACTTTTATTTATTAAAATCGACAAAAAAATCTTATTTTTAACAAAATCAAACATGCGTTGAGTTATTAAAAAAAATGAAAAAGAAAAAGCAACCCTGCTTTATTCCCGTACAAGTAAATTTATATATAATTTTTTTAAGCTTAACCAAAAATGCAACTTCACAAATGCTAATCAAACACGGCATACTCTCCTCTCTGACACCTTTTATTGGCGGGAAAAAGAGGAAAAATCAGGCAGGGAGAAATGAGTTCGTCGGCGGTGGAGGCGGAGGCTCCTGACTTAGTTTGCGAGCTGGATAATGTCCAAGGAATCGTCGACGCACTTACCTCCGTCCGCTGGAAACGGCACCAAGTATCAATTACCCTTTTTCGTTTACTCTCTCATATTTTCATTTTTTGTTTTATTTTATCCGACTGTAATGAATTCAATTTTTTTTTCCTTGAATTCACACAACCAGGACGCCGTCGTAGAATTATCGGAACACGGCATAGTGATAATCGTCGAGGAAATCAGTTGTCTTCAGGCCAAAGTTTATTTACAACGTGAGGTATTATTATTATTATTTTATTTTTATACTGAAATTCTGTTTCAATTTAGTACCTCAGTTGAATAAATACTGGAAACTCCGTGTATTGATTCTGGGAGTGTTCTTTTTGATAGCTATTTGTTAGATATGAATATGGGGCGCAAGGGAGGCCACGATTTGGGGTGAGCTTAGGGCTATTTGTGGATTGTCTCAAAATATTTTCAGTTCCAGGGCGCTCAAACATCCTTGAAATCCAGTATCCTGGGCCTGACATGCAACTTCTTCTCAAGTACTAATTATGTTGCTCTCTCTTATTTGTTTCTGAAGTTGATCTGGTGTTCAATTTACTCATTTATTGAATTTAGAAATAATTTGCACCCTGCACTTGAGATACTTAGCTGGTCGAATATTGAGTTTCAACTTGCAGACAACTGATTTTGGTATTTGGCAATTGAGGAACAGCCATTTTGATTGCATCATTGCTTGTGATTAGGATTAGGACTTCATACTCGAGTTACTGACAAAAATGATTGCAAGAAAGTGATTACCACTATGGGAATTATAACTTGAACGATAGAAGAATGCATTCTAAATTGATAATAATGAATTCGGTAACTGGTGTAATGCAAATAATTAGAAGATGAAGTGAGAAGTGGAGAAGACTGATGGGGTGAACAAAGAAGAAAAGGATGGCAAGCTGAGTTAGGTTAATGAGGGAGCTAGATGATTTTCAATCTATTTACCTTGACACTTATATTGTCCAGAAAAACGCAATGAAATGCACCTGGAAGATTTGAAATATGATTTACAGCTACAATGAGCTCAACAGATTCATATGCGAACAAATCTTGTTTTGGGTGAAGTGAAACCCCTGAAACCTTGCATCATGACTTGGTATTTCAATTACGTAGTGTCTTTCTCTTTAGTGTAAATTGGCTGTGGAAGTTAATACAAAGCTCTTTCCAGATTTGTCTTGGAGATGTTCTTTTTCCGTAGATATTTCAATGTTTTTGTTGCAGAGAAAAGCTTTATGTTTAAAGTATTTCGTACATTATAAAAAAACATTGTTCTGTTTTGTGGTTTCAATACCTAAATCAAAGGTAAAAACTTTTAAACAAGTTAATACAAAGCTCTTTTCAGATTTGTCTTGGAGAATTTCTTTTTCCATAGATACTACAATGTTTTTGTTGCAGAGAAAAGCTTTCTGTTTAAAGTATTTCGTACATTATAAAAAAAGTTGTTCTGTTTTGTGGTTTCAATACCTAAATCAAAGGTAAAAACTCTTAAACAACTTTGAAGCATAGCTTGTACATGCAATCTGAGTTATCAGTTAGACATGAATCCATTCCTTTTTCTCCAGAAAGTTTCTTGTAATTTACATTTTCCTTGAGACACTCTCTCCTTTTGCTTTCCTTCTTCTTTTCAATGCATCAGATCTCTTGATTCAGTGGATGCTTGCCTTTATGCTGAGGTTAGTACAAGAATTCCGGAGACGGTCTCATGGGACTACAGCTTTGAACCTGCTGGAAGCATTCCACTCAGTTTCACGGTTAAAGTAATTCTGAACTTATACTGTGATTTTGTGAATTAGATTCTTGAAGAAATTTATCAGTGAAAGCATATTATAGGAGATGTATCTCATGTAATTAACATTGTGTGAATAGAATGTATTCCTTGGTTATGAAGCAAGGCAACTGCCTGCAGCAGCATGCATTATTTCTTATATTCGTGTAACTTAACATTATTTATATTTCTTTTTCTGAAGTACACTGTTGCGGATGAACCATTTTTTTATATCATCTATAGTTTGGGTGCAATTTTGACCACAATTGCTTGAAATAATGCATCTATGGTTTACCCATTTCTTCAATAGTCTACTGAATTTTAAGGTAAATCATTATTCTATCAGCATTATGACTTTTAAGCTGATAGTCTGCAGCTCTGAAGGAAGCTATAGATGATCTTGAGTGGCCTGGCTCAAGCATACAGATAAGTTTACAACCAGATCCCCCATCTGTCACCTTGAGGGGTGAAGGCCATGGAGACCTGCAGGTTCGCTCGTGCCCATTATTCACAGCCCGAAAATATTTTTTGGGTTCCACATTTATAACAGGCTAACAACTTATTTTTGCAGATCGACTTCAGTTACTATGCTAATTCAGATCTTTTGACTGCATTTAGCTGTGATCGGCAAATATCTCACAGCTACAAGTATAAATTCCTCCGGGCAACAACTTCAAACATCCCAGGTAGTGTTATCAAAGACAATCGAGGAAGCAAGTTAACTATTGGGAGAGGTGGAATGCTCAAAGTTCAGCACCTTGTTTCAGTTTCCAAACCATCCGTACCGCATACCCATGTTGATTCAGCTGGATATCAGCAACCCAGCCGTATTGCTTATATCGAGTTTTTTGTCAAGCCAGAGGTAGAAGATGATACTGGAAACGATTCATAGGATTCCTTGTGTGCATATTATATCGAGTTGAATTGTTTTATAATGAAGATTAAGCTGTTTTGCATCTTCCCTTTATCAGTTCATCTGTATACATTATGCTGGCCAATTATTTCGTGTAGCACTTGCATTCTTCCTCTTATCCTATTTGCTCGTGCAGAGTAATTATTTTATTCTGATCTATTAAACTTAATGTAGCTTTAGAATATTGAAGCCCATGAAGAACAAAACATCAATGGATGAGATGTCTGTACGAGATTGAGATGATATTTTGTTATACACTGTAAATTTATTTCACGACGACAGGAAATAAAAAAAACAGTTCATGAAATATGTATTTGTCGTTCAACATAAAGCATCATTCATTCTCTCTAATCTATGTATATGTATGAAAAGTTCGAATTTCGGTTCTCAATCTATTGGAATAATACCGAGTTGGTTCTCGACCATAAAATCAGGACAAGTGGATCTTCAACTCATTGTGAAGTTAGATTTAGATTTTCAACTTGGCTCAAATATATTTTCATGATAGCCACATAATGAGTTAAGCGAATCTGGACGTTTTGTTTTGGTTACAGAAGGGAGGGGATTTTTCAATTGGGTTTAATCGGTTGAGACACTCGCGCTCGAAATTCATGAAATCTAGGGCTAGGATGAAGTCATAAGAGATATGATTGCTCTAATTAGTTTTGTGAACTATCTTGTATCCCCTGTTTCGTGATGAGTTAACTTCGTCTTTTGTTACATTTGGTGGTGGACAGACCAAGTCCCTCCTAACTTCAAAGCAGATGACCTCCAATTCCAACAATTCCAAGCCAAGCTCAAGAATTCGAACGTTTTGTAAAATATCTTAATAAGCAACCAAATAATAAACGTCTCTTTCCTTATTTCTATTTTTGTGCAACCTAGCCTATATCATCTAGGACAATGCTACACTAACGAATTTCTTTACCGAATATTTTACCTACTACTCACAATAGGGGTGGGGACCACATGTCGGCATTTTTTAAATTCACGCGAGATTGCATGTATTGTGAGAGGGGAGACACATTCAGTACATAAGGAATAATCATATCATCTAACCCCAAGTACTTACACCAAATGAAATTAATTTTCTTCGAATTGGTTTCTTGTAGTTGACTTAAGGTTCCTCTCAATTCTTAAGAGCTGACTGTTGAGGGACTTCAATATGTTGAGAGTTGGAGTGGCACAAAATGTTCTAAACATCAACCATCCAATAACAATGCCACTTCTCATAGTCTCGTAGACTCGTCTTCAGTTCGTCGAACCACAAAAAAATTTCATGTTTATTTTTCTCAGCATTGATTGGCGTGTCCCAAAACTTCCATTTCTAGTCTCTTCTTCTTCTGTTAGCCCACAAAATTAATATAATTTTAATCTTTAAATTGTTTCCAGCCTAGGATTATGTTCATAAGGAATCACAATGGGGGTGGCTGAGGAAAATCATGTCCCGAGTGCTAAAATTGAGATGACAAGCGTGTTGATGTTTTCATTGAAAAGATTAAAAAGTTGGTCCATAAGATGGGATGAACAACTTCCTGTACCCAACAGGTTGAGACTAGTTGATTTCTTAACATTTGATCGATATTCGCAGTCATCACCAAGGCATCCGATACATTCTCATAGGTTCCCATGGCAGCAATATGTCAAGTTGGGATGCATTCTTCGACATTTTGGATATATAGCTGTAGAACGACATGGATGTCTGCAAACTGAGTTTCAAGTAAGTTTATTTATCCATGCTGACGTGTTTGGACAGTACTGTATAAATCTTAATGGGGTTTTTTGATACTATTTTTATCTAGAAAAATGCAAGAAACAACTGAATACAGTAGTGATTCAGATGTGGATCTATGATAACATAGGTATTGTAGATTGTGGGTATTGTCCAAATCTAAAAACTTAAGCTAATGGAGCGAGGGCATGTTTCTTTTGTTTTCCAAATTTAGTCTTCGTTATATTTGATCATGACTACACTCTTCACGTCCTCGTAGGGATACTCGATCCTTAGATTTCTTGTTTCGTGTTTTAAATTAGACTAAGAGTTTCCCTTCACTAAGCTCGTTTTCTTTTGTTCTTAAATGTGGACTCCACGATTAGTTCGATCTTTTTTCAAGAATCCATGCATTCAAGTTGCTGCAGAAGTATCGAAAGCTTTGAACTGGCTGACAGCATAAGAAATTGTCGTCAATTCCCTCCTCAGATTTTATCTGCCCATCTACACAGCCTTACACGACTTGGATGGTACGCTAAAATCCCAGCCAAAACACTTTCTTGGTCCCAATATCAACGACAACACCAATAGCATGTTATTCCACGGCTAGGCAAGTGTCAAAACCGACACCTCGCCATTGCGTGAATCGAAATCCAAAAGGAATAATACGAATACCGAACAGGCAAAGGAGTCTGAAAGAAAGGTGTTGAGCCCAACTTTAAGCAAAATTGCTGTAACTAGCCTTGAGTTCTTGGAAGCACAGCCGTTTGCCTCTTTGCTTCGCTACTACTAATCCCAGGGAATTCAATCCAAGAGACGATCAAATCATTTTCACTACTGAAAATCCTGAAATGAAGAATGCAGAACCTCAAGAGAACTATTTGTCTTCTCATGGAACAGATTGATCATTAAAACTACTTAAAAGTGAGGTTAAAATACGTTGTGTTGAGTTTTCCGTTAATTTCAAAATTCTGTTAACTTTTCTTGAGCAGGACCGGACTTAAGGTTTCGACCAATCGTACAGCTCGTATCGAGACCGGGCTTAATCTTGCTTACATGAGATTTACATAACTTGGTACATTTTTACACCTATAGTAAGGACATTTCAATAATGTATAGACGTTAACAGCATGATCCCATCATTAATGGGATCATGTGGGGGGCCATGACTTTAGAAAGCACCTACAGATAGCCAGTTCATTAAGGGAATTTAGTTTAGTATGAAGTTATTTGTTTTATAGCCTAGAGTAAGGGGCCACATGAATAAAGAGTAACTCCATTCATATACCTTTATTGATTTAAAAGAAAATACATATATTAAATCAACTTTGTCATACAAGACCAATTCCTAGTGAATGAAATCAATAAAAGGGATCACCAAGATAGGTCTTTTCTTGACTCACTGTAATAAAAAAAGCAGAGTCTTGATACAACTTGACCATAAAAGACAGGCTAGACGCAGCAGAGCAACGAACTTAAGTCAGCTAGGCCAAGCCCGGTAAAGAGGTTCTTTAACATCGCCAGTTCGGATTGTTTCTGTATTCCAATCCTAGACAAGTGCCGTCTCAAAAAATTTGATGCAGTATTCTGCTCGTGACATACTCAAAATGATATTGTTAACTTCAACGGATGTGACTTGAATTTTCATTTGCTTGGATATCCATCGTAGCTTTCATGAAACAAGTAAGGTGAGATGCATCCATACTGAGTTTGATCATCTGAAAGTCCAACCTCCTCTCTAAAACTTGAGTAAGATGAACTTTGTGAGATATTATGTTGCTCGTCTGATGACGATGAACCCAGGTACGGAAACATGTCATACTGTGGATAGCATTCCTGTAACAATTACAAGTTTAGTAATAAAGTTCGAACAAGAACCTGATGACGTAAATTTTACACGAGCAATTACTAATCTTACTACCTTATAAGAATCAAGAATTATATTAGGCGAGCCCCAGAGGCTTGTAGAGAGATTATATCCCTCAGTAGGTTCTACCGGATATTGAGAAGTAAAGTGAGTTGTATGATTACTCTCGTTATACGAGTCATTGGTCTGAGATGGCATGTTACTAAAAGTGACCACTGGCTCATTTGAGACAGCATCACTACTGCTAGGACAATTTCCAGCCGGCTTAAGTGTAGCATCTCCACGAGCAAAAGTTTTATCTGTGTTTCCGTTCTTTTTGACAACACGACACAAGGCGAAAGACCCCTGCAGATATTTAAATTGCCATTTTCAATCTACATTTCAGTAATGTAAGAACTGTCAAAGACTGTCACTGCAAATTCTAGCAATGTTACCTGAAAACTTGGGGTGTCTTTGGAAACATCATCACAGAGTCGATACTCATGCATAATCCAATCTGTTCTATCCCCAAGTGGTGCTCGTCCACGATAGAAAACCAAGGTCTTGCGGTACCCTTGGGACTCACAGACAACTTTACGGTCTTTTCCTGTAGCTTTCCAGTATCCAGATTTAGTGGCTCTATTAGTTCGAGAGCCATTTGGATACTTCTTGTCCCGATAGCAGAAAAAGAACCACTCCATGTCGCGCTTTGGCAGGAACGATTTTTCTGCAATTCATGGCCAACACATTACGATTCTTCGTCCTCACGAACCAAAATTAAAAGATGTGACTAGTGTATTTTAGTAAAGCATCTCCTATGATCGATGGCAATTGTCAATAATAATATTAACCTCTCATGAATCCAACATAAAATTAAATGAATAAAACACTACGCTTAGGAGACGAACTTGGCACGAATTTATGTAATAACAGAGCATGTCTTATAAGCAATTCATCGAACATGTTATTAGCAATTCATTGTAGGAGTCTAGGCTGTTTTTCTGCCGCAGTCCTGATCTTCATATTGAGACTTAGGTCCCGAAAATTATTAATTGGTAGCAAATTTTTGTCTGAATATGTTAAAATATAAGTACCTGGCAGCTCCCATGGATCAAATTTGTATAAATCAATTACTGGAATGACTTCCAGCTCAATTTCAAGTCCCTCATTTTTCCTTTTAAGATAATACCCAACCAGTTCTTCATCAGTCGGATGGAATCGAAATCCCGGTGGCAATGATGCACTTTCCATTATGCGAACTATACTGAAAAATAATTCTAACGAAGAACAAGCCCAAAAACAAATCAAGAATTCATTGTACTTGGCTAAGTGCCCAAGCTATACCCGTTGAAAATTAGAAAAAACCCAAAAATAAAAGCTTTTGGACGCACAAAATTTGTTTGCAATAACTACAAAGAACTTCCAAATACTCCACCTCTTTAACAACAGTATCATTTTCCTATTGAAATTCAAAATTTTCTTTTAGATATAAAAGCCTCCCCCTCCCCCAATTTAAACTGCATAAATTTAAATAAAACCCAGAATTCAAATCCCTGTATATCGGAGAAAAGAATCGGAAAATTTAACGTTAATCGAATCTATACAGAGAAAAAGGAAGCTGTGTAGAGGAAAATAGAGTAGGGTAGAGTGGTTTTTATAGACAGTACAAAGAATATTGAACACCGAAAGTATGGACCTTGTCCGAAGCTACATAAAATTCCACACAAACCCCCGAAAAATAAAGCCAGTTTTCAGTTCACACATAAAAAAAAGAAAGAAAAATTTTAACACATCAGCATGAGTCGGACAACTATTAATTTTTTCCAATGTTCAAAGTGGGCAATTGCATTATTGATATGATAACGTTATTCAGGGGAGCGAACCCTGAAATCATATGACAATGAAGAACTAAATCGAATGATGAAAATATAATAACATAAAGGCACCTCTATGCAGAAATCGATTTACTGCCCCAGTGGATATGTGTCGAACACCATGGATCTTAGACCATTGTTTTGTTTAGCTAAAAATGATGTAAAACTTCGAGTTAAAGTCATTAGTTAATTTTAGGGGTTGCTTGAGCTCTCTCTCTTACTATTATTGTTATTATTATTATTTTTTTTTTTTAACAATGTTATAAGTACAGATTTTTTCAACAGAATTTGTACAGTAAGACAGTTATCTTCCTGTAATTGGTTATTGCCAACAGTTGTCTTTCTGTACCAATTTTGTTAAAAAAAATATGTACTTGCAGAATAATTAAATTTTTAAAAAAAAATGCATTTTACAGTAGTGTTATGATGAAAAATGTGATGTTAAAAAATAAGAAAAGTTTTGGATTTACTTGTGATATTATTTTATTGAAAAATATGTTATTGAAATGAGATCAAATCACTGTTAAAGAATACATTTTTTATAGGGGGCATAATAAATATTAAGAAAATTGCACCTCATATCACTTTTTGGTTTTGCATTTTCAAAAATGCCACTGTTTGATAATCTTTATAAAAATATCACTTCGCTAGAGCCTGTCACGAGAAAAGAAAGTCTCGTGGGTCTCGATCGCCTTTTCTTGTTGCCATGGGGTCGACCTACTTTACTTTCTAAATCAAGCTCTCCATTAAACTTCACCCCTTCCTCCTTGGAATGGACATCCTTTGGTCATCGAGCATCAAGGCCTTTTTTTGGAACTGATTCATATTGGATTATTTTTATACCCCTTATACAATTTAAATCTCCATGATGTGATTAGATAAAAAGAAATTTACAAATTAATACACAAACATCCAATTAAACCCACCTAAACCGCACCCTATCCTTCTCACTTTCTAAACCTAACCTAAAAACAATATTCAAACTAATTCCAAAAAATTAAAAGAAACCTCTTGTGCCCTTCAGGAAAATTTGTGGAAGAAATTCTACGTTCAACATTTTTTGGAGATCTTTTTCTTCCCAACAATCAAGATTTTATTTTTCTTGGTTTGGGTTCTCTCTATGATTCCTCCATTTACGATTTTTCATTTAGAGAAAAAAAAATTGTTTTTGTTTTTTTTTTTTTGCATTTTTTTTGAAATGTTTGATTATTGGAAAAATGTGGGATATAAGAAATGAATAAATAAATTCAATACTTAAGAGTTCATTTTCAAATTTCAGGATCTTCAGAGATATTTGGATAGATTTAAAAATCTTTTATTTGCTATGTTCTCCTTTTATTTAGGTTTTTGAGAAAAATTAGAAATTTTGTGAAGTGAGGTTGCCAACTATTTTTCAGTTCGTCTGTCCATTTTGCGCTCCCTATGTGAAATTTAATTTTGCTTATTTTTTGATTTTGTGAGTGTGAAGTGAGTTTAATCATTAATGTAATGTGTAATACAATCAATGTATGTAAAAATACTATCTTAACGAGTGTGAAATGGGTTTATTTTTTCATGAGTGTGAAGTGAGTTTATTTTTTGCCGTCATTCTTTGTTGAATCTTGCTATATGTATATCAAATTTTACATAGTGAATTACATAATATCACATGTCACTTTATTATTTGTCAGTTTAAAAATCAATTAACATTTTCATGTAATCATTTCCCTCCACATCCTTTTGTTTATTCCCTTATATACCATTTTTATGTACAAATAGCATAATCTTTATTTGTTAACGTAAAATACTTAATTTTTTTGTTGCAGGTCCGAATTGGAGTTCCCATGAGTGGAGATTCATCCGTATAGAGATCCGAGCTTAACGTTCGTAATTAGTCTTTCATTATTCTTGAATTTATATTAGTTTGCGTACCAAAATTTGTAGCTTTTTAAAGGCTCAAAGATTTAAACCTTTGACGTTGAATATGTAAATTGAACATTGCTTAAATTCACACATTGAGGCTACTAATTTGTTTCATGAACTTCAATTGTTGATTTCATGGGATCGCCATAATGTCTTTGCATTTATATTTACCATGGAAAATCAATATGAATATGAGATTTAAATGTCACATTTATGGAACCATCTGTCAAGGTAAATTGTTGATCTCGATAGTTGTATAACTTACCTCAATAGTTTATTTTAGAGCCAAAATTTGTTCAACAGCTCATGTATGTGTAATATGAATGAATAGTATGACATATCAGCATTTAGCATTAGTTATTTCTTTATGTTTTTGTTTTTTACAGATGAATTTTAATTTTTTTTTCTGTCAATAGATGATCATGTGCATGTGCACATTTTGTAACGATTTAACAACAAAGGCTGTCATGATTTAGCTCAATCAAATTATTTCCTGTTAATTAGTTCTTGAAATTGTGCACATGCACAAGGTTAAAATGAAACTAGGAAGGAAATTCCCTTTGTTGTAACACAAAGGGTCTACAGGCTTTTTTTTTTTTTTTTTTTTTTTTTTTTTTATCCAGGCATCCCAACTTATACTAAACTAAATTCTGGACCCCCAAGATCCTTGTCTCTAGAACCTTGGAGGGGGTAAATCGCGGGTTATGCCTCAACTGGATCACAGGTTCCCTCCACCGCCTGTACACTTTTGCGCACAAGAGATCCTCCTCCAAAGTGATTGCTCCATACCAAATAAATATGGCCGCAGGTTCCAACCAAAATTCGAACCTCCACCTTGCGTGGATTTCAAGTTTCTCATTTTTAAAGGATATTTTATGATAGGAGAAAAAGAAGGTTCCTCTAAAGTTAAATTCGGTCACCTTGGTAAACTCTTGATTTGAGACAATTTCAATTAATATGAGCTCTATTTTTGTTTAGATTTAATATCTCAATGACTTGTTTTTATCACACAATAATTTGTGACTTGTATGATTTTATCCAAACAAACATAAACGAAATTCATTGAAATTACAGTCCTTTTGCAGTAAATCTAAGAATTTGTGTTTAGAATTGACACCAATATGTGACTGATCATTGAATACAATTACACCTTTTTTTGTTTGTAATGAATGAAATAGATTGTTTAACATGCAAATTTCACATCAAAATGTAGATGTTCATTCACAACAAGTACATAACTTTAAATGCAACTTGTTTGCTCAAACCCATTCATTACCAACAACTATAAGTGCATACTTTATGAATGAGTAGTACTAAGATGCTTTAATATTCACATTTTCAATCAAAATCTGCATGTTTAAGGGAAAGTTACACTTGGACCTTAAAACATCACACCAGATATTACTCGAGCAATAACTTAAGTTGTATATTGGTTGTTTTGTACTAAATGACCAAAATTAGTTCCTTCCAACAATTTCCCTATGAATAGCATAGCATAGCTATTTTTTCATTTCCATTTAAATACTCCAACTTCGTGACATTGTCAAGGTCAAATAGGTTAAAAAAAATTCACAAAGTCCACTAAGATTTAGAAAATACCCATGCGAGACGATGAATTTTAGATTATTACTCATACTTTAAAATTTTGAGACATCAATAATAAGCATTCGGCACATTAATATATTAAACTTTAATAGTATGCAAATGACAATTATAAATGGATAATAAAAAACAGTAGCACGACAATGAGACCGACAGTAATGTCGGTCTTAATTTGTATATTCGCACTTTCAATCAAAATCTGCATGTTTAAGGGAAAGTTACACCTAGACCTTAAACATCATACCAAATATTACTCAAGCAATAACTTAAGTTGTATATTGGTTGTTGTGTACTAAATGACCAAAATTAGTTCCTTCCAACAATTTGCCTATGAATAGCGTAGCATAGCTATTTTTTCATTTCCATTTAAATACTCCAACTTCGTGACATTGTCAAGGTCAAATAGGTTAAAAAAAAAAAAAAAAATTCACACAATCCACTAGGATTTAGAATGCCCATGCGAGATGATGAATTTTAGATTATTACTCATACATGAAAATTTTGAGACATCAATAATAAGCATTCGGCACATTAATGTATTAAACTTTATAGTATGCAAATGGCAACTACAAATAGATAATAACAAACAGTAGCACGACAATGAGACCGACAGTAATGTTTGTACCAAATGTTGTGTAAAACATTTTATTTGTCGTCAAATTTTCTACTTTGCAATCAATTGTTGAGAATGGAAGAAACATTCTGTCGGGATTGATAGGTTAACTGTTGGGATGTTACGAAATATGTTGTTTATGTAAATATTTTGCCTATGAACTTAAACACGACTAATATTTGCAAACAATAATTAAACAAAAATGATAATATAACTTCAATACGTATAACGTAAGAATTTTGACATGCAAAAAAAATTCATGGATAAGTTTGAAACAATAATATTCTGTCGGAACTGACAATTGAACTGTCAATATGTAATGAAATAATATTTCTATGTAAGTACTTTGCTGTGAAGTTATTGCTACACGACTGATACTTGCAAATAAAAATGAAACAAAACATGCATACAAATTGTTAAATTTATGAATCATGAAAATTGTAGACTACTTCATTATCGAAATACCTAACATTTACTTGCAATTATCATCCAAGTATACAACGATTAACATTTTGATGCTTGACCTAGTTACCCGAAATGGTAAGAATTCTACACAATCAATATGTCAACATTTAATAGTATTAAAGTAGTACATTCGAATATTTAAATCCAGACAATAGCAAACATGTGAAATCGACAATTAAAATGTCTATCCTGATAGTTTTGAAATTGAATTCCACAGTTGAAATGTTTATCCCGACAGTTTTGAAATGTCAAATTCGACATTTAAACTATTAGAACTGACGTGAAGCATTTAATGTGTG